CGTGTGACTCAAATGTGAGCCTGCTCTCAGGCTACGGATCAATTTGCTTTTCTTACAAAGACGGTTGGGATGTGATCGACGAAGTGGATAAGAAAAAAAATATTGCATGTGATAACCACGCAAAGTCACCTGTAAACATGCAAATTGATCAAATGTTAGGAACTCAAAGAAGAGAGACCCTGGAAATGAGGTAAGCAAGGAATTATTTGCGCCTCTTTCAGGCGTTCAGTTGGTTGGGGCGCAACAAGGGCGCGAAAAAACGGCTAAGCGAAAAACGGAGAGAGGCCTGGTGCCAGGTTCTCTCGCCTTCCCGCGCCGCGCTTCTCGCCTAATTAATTTTGCATGAATTTTTGCGCTATTGCGCGCCAACTAACTGACCCCCTGAAAGAGCTCAGGCTATGAAGACTTGTTTATACATAATATAAGAAAGGCATCAAAAACAACTCAAAACTGTATCTGCAGCTTCACTTTTAATATTATCCTTCTCACAAGGGGTAAAAGGAATGATGACTTTAATTCTCAAATATAAATTAATACATATAAAAACAAATAGTACGTCAATTTGATAGCAATAATTTCATAATATTCTTAAACAATAACAATTATAGGGTTGGGGGGACAGGGGGCGGGAGCCCGGGAGAATAGGGGGCGGTAGGCGAGATAGGAGAGGGCAGGAAGCGGGAGAGGAAAGGGCGAGAAGCGGGAGTTTTAAGAAGGCGGGAATCATTTATTAAGTGTTAAAATACTTTCAAAAATAAGAACCCAAAATGTTGTTTGATTTACGTTTAGCTTATTTTGAGACTTCTGGACCAACAGAAAAATGAAAATTTCCCCTTGGGTTGAAACTGAGGCCTACTTCCGGTAAAATTGGAAACCATTTTCCCGTGGTGATGTCCTAGGTCATGAAATGTTGTCACTTAAGTTGTCAAAAGATGTGAGTAAGAGGAGCAAGGCTGAAAACAAAGGGAAAAAAAAACACCTAAGGAATGTGTTTTGAGTCTCCTTATTTTCAGGGGATGGGAGCAAGACAGACAAGGCCGGGAGTCGGAAGATAAAGGTTCAGGAACGGGAAATGGGAGAACAGGGTACCGGGGGTGGAAGGTTCTGACCTCCCTATCCCCCCAACACCTGTAGATAAATCAATCAATCTCTTTACTTACATTGGACAATACTTTGCCACCCCCAAAACAAAAATAACAATGACACCGCTCCCCCTCTTTTTTCTAATAAAATTAGGGGCGTAAAAAAAGGTAAAAAAAAAAGAGCATTGATGTAATATTACTGATTTTGAAAAGAGCTAAGATTTTATATAACAGAAAAGTAAAAAAATCCTTGAGCAGTAGTTTGTCTTGTTTTGGAGAGATAAATAGGTTGAGAACACTTATTATTATTTTAAACAATTTCAATGAGGAGAAATAATTATAAATTAACCTACCTTCTCAAAAAATTTAATTTGTATAAAAAAATATTAAAAACTCTAGCGTATATTATTGAGAGCTTGTCTCATTAATACAGTCGCACAATGAATAACAAAATATAAATATTTTACGTTGTGAGCAAATGGTGCCCCCATTAGGGGGGTGTGAGTATGCCAACATTCCATTAATATTTAGCCTATATATCTTGCATCTTGTTAATCCCAATTCTAAGTAGCATCAGTAATCATATTTTATTCTAAGTTGTGCATGTATTAGTCCCAGGGGGGGACTCCCATGTAAAAAGGACAGGGGTGCTTGTCATACCTTTAGAGGTTAAAATAGCAGTTTTGGTGCCTCTTAGGGTATTCAGCCTCAAAAGGTCCTAAGCAGGAGCTCTTGCAATACCTTTTTCGGGTATTGAGCCAAAAAAATATGACAGGAAATAATGTTTTGTTTTAGAATTCAAAATTTTAAATTTAAAGCCATGTCCACAAAACAGCATCTTGGTACCTCGTAGGGGATATTTTCAAAATTTTTCACAGGCACCCCCATCCTTTTTATGTGGGAGTCCCCCCCCCCCCGGGCAACAGTATTGTAAGTAGGATAAGTAATCCTAAGTAGTGTAAGTTGTATTGTTGCAAGTAGCATCTGTAATCGTATCGTAAGTGGTGTAAGTAGTTTGTAAGTAATTACATTGTATAACAAGTTTTGTTAGTAATGTAAGGGACTGTACTCTATCAGTATTGTAACAAGGTTAAGTAGTTGTATTACTGTTGTAAATTGTGCAAGTAGCCACACCAGTGTTGTAAGTAGTGCTCAGTAATGTAAATCACAATTAAAATGTAAAAGGAAAAAAAAAGAAAAATAGTTAATTCCAATTCTGATTTTCCTACTTGATATCCTGTTTTATCTGATCTAAATATCCCATGTCCCGTTAATTTTCCCCCAAAATATCTTGAATCCCATTAATTTTTTATCTAAATATTGCCAAACACCCCTGATAGGGCCTTGTTGGTTATTGCTCACTGAAAAATTATAAGGGTGAGTAGTCTACTTGATTGAGAATAATGTTCCATCAAGTGTTGTGACACTAAATGAAATCACTCCGGCCAGTCGCCAAGGACCCAGACATTCCATAATTTCTACTTTCAAGGCAACCTGCATGTAACTGTGTTCTACCACTTCTATTCAAGGGGAACTTAAACCTCTGTTTTCTTAAAATCTTGGATATATATTAATTCTTTTTAAATAATTTTTTTTACTGCCACATTCCTTCACGAGAGTGATAATAGTGAAACAAGCCAGGCTGTTTCAGTCTTTCAACTTCTAGTTTAGCAGAAAGCACGCGATCAAGCAGATCCCAATCTTCACCTCCCCATTTAGTGGTAAAGTCTTTAACATTCATCCCTGCAAAAACAAATAAATAAATAAGCAAAGTCATGTACATATGTGCGGAGCAGCAGTGGCCTCATGATTAGTCCACTCAACTCCAGATTGAGTGGTTCCAGGTTCAAGCCCTTACCGGGGGGAACATTGTGTCATGTTCTAGGGCAAGACACTTTACTCTCACGGTCCTTCTCTCAACCCAGGTGCACAAATGGGTACCAGCAATTTTAATGCTGGGGGTAACCCTGTGATGGACTAGTATCCCATTAAGGGGCGAGTAGAAATACTCCTAGTCACTTCATGCAGCAGAAACCAGGAAAAGCTCCCGCCTGAATCGGGCCACTTAGCTCCTATGCAGACTTAACCATGTGCATGTGTGGTCTGAACGACAAAGGAAGAAAAAGACTCTCAAAGCCGAGGACAATGGGGCAGAAACTGACCCACCTGTCAAACACCAGAATTCAGTGGGGGTTATTCAATGGAATATTTCACTACATGCCTCACCCCCAATTTTCATGCGGCCATTTTTCCACTTTCTGTTTATACTTTTGTTTTACAATCCTATTATTGAGCCAGTCTGCTACAAGAAGGGTTTGCTTGCAATCTCATTTGCGGCCAATTTGAACATGAGAAGACAAAGAGTAGCATGGAGAGTATGAAACACGTTAAGGGAGGGGGCCTGGTTGTACTAATGCTGGCTGTGATCTGATACTATTGATCTCAGATGTCTGTTGAAATGGCTTTTTTCAAGCCCTTACACGCACTGTTGGTTTCAGCTATTGGTTTAGCTGTCACAAATTCCTCAAAAATAGCAAGTTCAAGGAAAATCTCACCAATTTGATGGATTTCGCATCTATTTAACTTTTCTCTGTATCACATCTTGAATAATATCTTGCGAGAAAGTGTGAGACTCTGCAACTAACTTGTGAACAAACTGTGAAGCACCTTCCCCGAGGAAACATTCACTCATCACACAATAATGAAATTTGTTATCACGTGATCACTTTTTTGAATCTGTGAATGCAACCAACAGTGGGCGCAATGGCCTGAAAAAAAAAGTCTGGTAATCAGACGTCTGGGATCAATAGTTTGACAGTTACACACCTCCAAAACTATCCCAGTCCTTTTTGAAAACACTTAAAATCCCGTAACCGTCATCCTGCCAAAAACCACGGGGATCACTTGGAAACTCTCCGCATGCTAATCGGCCAACAGTTGGTGCATAAGCCATCTTGCCTAAAATGGTGTGCTGCAAACAGAATAACATAACATTCATATCAAGAACCATAACAGAAGTTTACTTTCAGACATAACATTACAAGGGCAATATATTACTCTGTTTAGGTCTATGGGTGTGTTTAAAACACGAAATGGGAAATTGACAAAATCACACTATGAGTATGAGTCAATGTTGGATACAGGTGTTTTTTAGGACTACCCTTACAACTATTGAGAGCTAACCACTGTCCAGTCAGTGATATTTATGCTAACCTGAGCCCTATGTAGACTAAATATGGCAGTGCCATTTCATCATTTTGCCGTTTTGTGCTTTAAACACGCTCTAGGTGGGGCATGTTTAAATAGATGTATTAATTCTTTCCAGAAAAATTTATCTCATTCTTTCCTATATAATTTCGCTAAGAACATTTTTTATCTTATTTAGATAAATATTGGCTCTCATGTTCATGTTGTACATGCTAGATAAGGCCCATCAACAAAACTACACCAAAATTTGGTACGGCACAGATAAAATTGGTACCAGTGTCTACTTCAAACATGTGTTTAAGCCATGTAGATAAACAGTCCAAGCCCAGAGCAAGGGACTGCCATATGAAAAGGTCAGCAGATGCTCATTGGAAAATTTGAATTAAACCCCTAAAGGAGACCAATCTGGGCATGGCTGGAGCTTTTTTTGATCTCTGAAAGATACCACTTAAAACAGAATAGGCTTGACTACCAGTTCCTGTTCAGGAATGGTAGACCAGACTCGAGTGAGTGGTGGAAATCAAACCTAAGAAAGGAAATGAGATTGTTTTCTCTTCGAGTGGACCCTAAAAGATACTCTGACAGCTAAAAATAGTGGCGTTTGGCCTGAACACCCTCCGTGACACCAAAAGCTCTGATTTATACCCCTAGGAGAGACAACGAGCATGCCTGACCTATTCATATGGGGTCCTTCCCCCCACCCCCCGTCCCAGAAGTCCATGCAAGGATGAGAATTGATACCTGAGCCCTACCAAAAATCCTGTGCTGTATAAAATGGTCCTTTAGATACCCAGAAGTAGCAAGCAACCCCCTCCCCCTCCCCCCACTCTTAAAGTTGCAACCCCCAAACGTGCATAGCAACTAGAAAAGACTGGTAAATCCAGAAATAACAAGCTGGGTTGCTTCACACAGCAAATGGGGGAATGCAGATTACTCAGATGTATAACTTATAAGCCAAAAATGTGCATTCCACCCAAAACTCACACTGAAGAAATGTCTAGATTTCAAAGGATTAATAGACAATAAGACAAAGATCCATGCCACACATATTTGGTGTAACTGTTAGAGCTGTCATTAAGGGCTGTAACTGCAACACCTGTTACGGCTGATTATGCTTGATTTTTCCCTTGACGCTACAGGTGAAATTGCCTGTTGTTGATAGAATTCACCCACAATGACAAAGTAACAAGTTTGCTACTGGTATGGAGAACAAGGCTACAGGTGACTCAAATCCTAATGACAGTGAGCCCTGTAACCTGTGGGCAGTGCAGCCTGGCTTACAAGTTAAAGTTATCTTTAGACCTCGTCTTCCTGACACTATCTCAAAATTATATACCCTAACTAACAAGTTAAATGCATCTTCAAATCTCACCTTTCTTACACTATCCAAAAGTCCTATGGGAACATCAATATGAAGGTCAAAAAGAAAGACAATATCATCGTCATGTGGAACAGCTTGAACTGCCTTTTGGATTGCAAGTGTCTTGTAAAAAGGGCCACTCAACTTGATTAATGTATAACGGTCTTGAAGAGGCCACACACTAAATGCTTCATCAATATCAATGTCTTCACTGTCAAAATCCACAATAATGACATGGAATCCTAAGTCGCCAGACTGACGAGACATGTTTGCAAGTTGAGATGTAAAGTGATGGACCCACTTGCCCTGGTTTTTCACAGGGAGTATAAAGTAAATGGTTGCATTTTTCTGCCACACCATTCCTTCTGGAAAACAGAGTTCATCCTTCCCAATCGGAGCATAAACATATTCCGAGAGACGAAAGCTTTCATTTGATCCATGGACACCTAATTGAAGTTCAAGAAGAAAACGATTTCCCTTCTTAGGATCTGGGTTCTGCTCAACATTTAGGACTTTTTGCAAATAATATCTACGATAAAAAGAAAATATTTTGGTCAGTATCTACAAGAACATTACAGTGTTCTTAATAATACAGGGGTGTAGCCCGCCATTTTTTCCATTTAAACCCAAATTGTTCAGCGTAAGTCGTATACCAAATTTTGCCAACTTCCAAAAAAAAACACAACAACAACAACAGTCAATTAATTTTTGTGTGCATAACCTTTCAGCATTTTTTCATGTAAAGTCATTATTTTGTTTTTCAAAATAAAATGTTGGTATAGCGGTGATTCGCTATTCGACAGTAAGAAAAAGAAAATATGGCCTTTTGGCTACTAAAAAACAATTATTTACAGAAATTCTTGTTAAGCCTGTACTTAAGGGCTTATATGTTGGCTATGCCCCTGTAACAGATTTCTACGATTTTATTTCTCTGTTTTCTCCTGAGTTTTAGTTTTGATTGAGAAGATATACAAACACTCAAGGTAGTGTTTGACCACATCATCAAACACCTCAAAGTTCATCAAAAATACTCCGCTATGCACCATATTTTCAACTCTCCTCTCAATGTTTGGAAATGTGGTCAAACACGGTCTTTTGTGTTTGATATATTACTTCAAAAACAGTGACACAATCTACTGGGAGTCTACAAGCCCTTCACATTCTACCAAAAATTCTCGTTTCTGGCATTTCAGGAAAATTCCAGCAGCAAATGGAACAGCATTTTACCCAATTTCTGGAACAGGAGGAGAACCTCACTAACTACACCCAGATTTTCAAAAATTTCTTAACAGGAATTTCTGTCCCATCTAATTTCCATTCTGCAATTTTTGGTTGAAAAGAAAGCACCCTTCAAACCTAATGTATTCACGTCCAATAAATGACCGAACTGTCAGGTTTATATTTGATTAGCGACTTGAAGATATTGGGATCCTGTTTAAAATAACTTAATCCCACACTTGACCCTTTCATTATTAAGGTGATTCCTCACATTTGCATTGCGCATCC